AGCAATCGAGCTCATGCAGGCTAGGTCAGATAGACAGGCGCTTGAATTGATAGAGAACTGCAACTTAAAACCGCACCCATGTGCGTGTTTTTCACTGTATGGACATGAACACATGCGCGCAAGCAAACGCATGCCTATCTCCTTAGATACCTAACTATCTGTCCATCCTCCTATCTAGCTGCCCATTTATCTATCTATCTATCTAGCTATCTGCCTCCCGATCTATCTATCTAACTAACTAACTATCTATCTATCCGTGTATCCATTTATCCATCTATCCATCTGGCCATATATCCATCTATCCATGTATCCATCCATCCATCCATCCATCGATCTATCCATCTGTCTGTCTGTCTATCTATCTATCTATAATATACACACATGTATGCATGTATGTATGTATGTATGTATGTATGTATGTATGTATGTATGTATGTATATATGTGTGTATGTATGTATATGTCTATATATATATGTATATATATATGTATATATATATATATATCTGTCTGTTCACCTAAGTTTACATATATATATATCTATTTATGTGTGTGTATATGTATACCAACATATATATATATACATATATGTGTATGTATGTATGTATGTATGTATGTATGTATGTATGTATGTATGTATGTATATGTATGTATGTCCGTCTGTCTGTCTGTCTGTCTGTCTGTCTGTATGTACGTACTTATGTCTGTATGTCTGTATGTCTGTATGTCTGCATGTCTGTATGTCTGTATGTATGTATGTATGTATGTATGTATGTATATATGTGCGTTTAAGTGTCTCGGCCCGAGCCTTAGAGTGTGTGCGGGGTCTTTTCTGCATGGCACCGGTGCTGTACTCATGGTACGTTCTATTGCTTCTTCCTCCTCTTCTTCGGGGGACCGGCTCTCCTCCCTGTCCTCTATCGAGGGATCGGAGAATTCTGAAACCAGAGCTGCCCAGCGACGAGCAGCGGCTGCTCAGGCGGACAGATTTCAGCAAAACAGGTTTGCTTGGTTTCGACGGCGCACCATGGCCGTGCTGTGTGAGTTGGCGATGGAGCGCCAGTTTGCTGCTAATGGGATTACAGGGAGACCACTGGCAGCCCGCATGGCAACTTTTCGGCGCAGGTGTGACGGCAGATCTGCAGAGCAGCTGGTGGAATTCACTCTCCCGCAGCTGGAGATGCCAGCCGCAGGAGGTCTGCACGAGGACGCCACGACGCTACTGCAGATGGTGGACGTTCCGGTCCCACCGAATGACAAGGACTGGATCCTTTCTGACCAGGTCGGAAGGATCGGTGACCCCCAGCGTCACCAGGTGGAGCAATTCAGCCTGTTACTGCTACGTCGATCCCTGGTCCCTAGGCTCCGCTCCCCAGACGCCACCGCTGTGGTGGAGCGACTTATGTGCAATGCAGGGGGCTGCCTGTACAGGGACTTCATCCTACTGTTCTGGAGGTTCTTGTCGGACGAGGACCGCTACAGTTTTCAGCAATGGTACCAGGGTAGATGTGCAGAGCCCCTGGCGGAGGGCTTTGAGGCCACTGCCCAAGCCAGACAGCAGGAGCCGGCTAGCAGTTCCCGGGGCCCGAATGCAGCACCTTACCCGCCTCAGCAGTGAGATGGGCCGCTCCGGTCCCAAATCCGGAGCCAGTGTGGACATTGCAACTCAGCAGCATCTTGAGGAAGTCCAGAGGAGAAGCATGCTTTTCTTCTTGAAATGGTTGCTTGGCACCCACACTGGAGACACGAGGGTTGGGGGTAATTTTGGTCGTTTTCCCCCTGTAGCGACACCAGCTAGCCCTGCGATCTTCACGAATACCGCGAAGCTGAACGACCCTTTTTACATAAGCCAAACTAGCAAAGCTACAGGCTCTCTTTCCACCTTTGCCAATGCGTCCCATAAGGGACCGATCAGGCGCGTCATTCAGTGCATGTCTTTTTGCCAGAGTTCTTTCGCCAACTGCTACCTGTCATGCTCGCGACAGGATCATGCAGTGAGTCAGCAGCCCCCTTTGCCCCGGGTTTTGGACACGGGCATAGGATTGTTCGAAGGCCTGTTACTACTCGTGACGTGGGGTTGCAGGTTCTTGGGCCAAAGATGGTTTCCAGCCCGGTGGCATTGGGGCTGTGTACGGATACAACGCGGCATGTATTGCCGCCGCCGACTGGCGCCCTTCCGGTGCACGTGTGTGTCGCGCATCAGGTGGCGCTCCAAACTTGCCCCATCCCCACATAGCCCGACCCATAATGGCGGTTTAGTCCAATCATGTACCACCCGCAGAGATCTAGGCAGGACTTTGTGGTTCATTTTTATATGGTTGTACATCACTAGCGTCACATGTCTTGGTGCACCGTCGCCTGATACGTCGGCAGCTGGCATGTCTCCGGCAGCTGCGGTTTCCGTCCTGCGCGCGCATGGACAACGGGCAATGCGTCTGTCCTTTGCGCGTAAACGGGCTTTCAAAAGGGCGCAAGCCAGAGTACTCCGGGATGGCAGTACGGTATATCGTGGTCAAACCCATAATATGCAGAGCCTCTCACTCCAGTACATAGGTCAGGCACGACCCCGCCCCCGGAACAGGTCTGCCCCTGAGGCCTCGGATCTCCTTCAGGTTATCACTTGGAACTGTGGAGGGCTACATGCCAATAGGTATGCAGAATTGATGGCGTGGCTCAATTCTGAGCCCCAACCAGGCCCACACATTGTCCTCGTCCAGGAATGCCACTGGCCACATAGCATGGAATTCAGTAGTGACAAATGGGTACATGTCTATTCCGGCTCAGGGTCACCACAGGGAGGTGTCATGATCATCATTAGTCGGCAACTTGTGCGTCCTGACCAAGTTAGACATGCTGAACTTTGTCCAGGGAGGTTACTGCATGCTAGACTGGCATTGGATCCACCAGTTGATGTTTTATGTGTATATCAACATGCCTGGTCGGTGGCTGGTACCTCGCAGCAGCAAGGTATGTCCAGGTCGGAGATCCAGTCTGATCTGCTGGAGAAGCGTAGACAAATCTGGCAGCGTCTTCAGAGTTGGGTATCGTCCATCCCTGCTAGGAACACCCTCCTTGTAGGCGGTGACATGAACTGCGGCCTTTGCCCCGCCCACCCACATGTAGGGGTAGGAACGCAGGGGCATAAGCACCCTCACCCTGACCAACATTTGTTCCAGCAGATCCTGCAATCTCACGGCCTGGTTGCCATGAATACGTGGGGCAAGGCAGGGGCGCAAGCAGGTACATTTTTGCAGCTGCAACAACATACTGTGCAAATTGATTTCCTGCTTACGCGAATGCCGTGCCACACAGCTTCCATGCGTGCAAAAGCACTTCGCTCAGCGCCTGTGGTGCATCCAACTGGACTCCGCCATGTGCCGGTTCGGGGTTTCATTCAGCCATCAGCCAGGCCCAAGCCCTCCATTTCTGGCACTTTGAAGCCACACCAAGTCAGGCAGCAACTCCAACATCAGCCGGAGCTGGCACAAGTATTCCAATCTTGCGTGCATAATGAGTTGCAGCGCTGTCCCACCAAAGACATCGATGAATGTCTCAAACAGGCCTGGAGTAGCAGTATCGCACAGCATACACGTCATAGTGATAATCAGACCCAGACCTCCGCCTCCCAGGTCCCGGAAATTTCCCTGAGGCGATACTGGACCACCAAGCAGCAGGTCCGTAAAGCACAGCAAGCCACTTCTAGTTTCCTTGCCCCTGTGGTATGGCATTTCTCGTCGGCATCTCCAGCCACCATCCTTCAACACTTCCCCACTGCCACGCAAACCCTAAGACCCCTACTTCGCTTGTGGAGAGCTGCATGTGAGATGCATAGGGTAGACAAGCAGTTGCGGCAGCGTGTAAAGGAGCGTAAGATTGCAAAGGTTGATGCCCTAATTGAAGAAGCTCAGGCCCTGGACCATAAAGGTATAGGTGCGTTGCATCTTGTTGCACGTAGCATACGCCCCAGACAACCCAAACGCTCCATACATTTCCGCACGCCGGCGGGTCTGCTCATGGACGAACGTGAAGAGGTCTGTTGCCTCCGTGATTTCTTTGCCGAATTGTACCAGTCTGCAACTAGGACAGATGTGGCACATCTGCTGCAAGATCCCCTAGACATCCAGGAATGGGAAGTCATGGAGGCAGTTCGTAGCCTACCCGCGCGCAAGGCCCTACCGCCTGGACAGGCACCTGCATTGTTGTGGAAGTTGGCGGCGGAAGATGTAAGTAACCCCAGCACTGCACCGATCCCTTCAGGCATGTTTGCAACCGGGCCCACTCCAATTCCCGCCCAAATGGCATGAGTCCTATTTGACTCTGCTGGCTAAGCCTGGAAAGCCTCCCAACTGCCCAGCCAATTTGCGCCCGATCAATTTGTTGCCGGCCGAATCCAAAATGCTGGCGCGCATTGCGGCCCGCCGCCTGCATCCTTATGTAGTTAGGGCGGTTCAATCTGTACCACAGTTCGCTTATGTTCCAGGGCGTCAGTGTGCCGATGCTATCGATCGAGTCTTATCGCATTGTGCTAAGATTCGTGCCGGACTGCAGACGCGTGGACGCAATGCGTGGAGTCAGTCGAGGGGGCCTTCTCGAGAGGATGTATATGGAGGACTACAACTTTCTTTAGACTTGGCTAAAGCATACGATCGGCTTCCTCGACATTTATTGCGACAGGTATTAGAATGGATCCAAGCCCCAGAACCTCTAATAACCTTGATACTGTACATTCATGATCATGCCCGCATCGTCATAAGTAGACATCACACTACGGAGTCCGTGGGCATGGGAAGGGGTGTCAGACAAGGTTGCGGACTGTCCCCATTGCTTTGGATTACGTTCACCTTGCTCATCCACGATAAGCTTAGCCAATACCTGCCACAGGAAGCCCAAACTAGCTACGCGGACGATTTCCATGTACAGTGGAAGGTCACCACGGAGCAAGAGTTCAGACGGGCTTGCCATACCATTCCCCGCATACTCGCAGATCTGACTTCGGTCGGCATGGAGGTTTCTCTAGGCAAAACGGTGGTGTTGCTGGCCCTTAAAGGACCTCTTGCTCCGAAACTCCTCAAGGGTTATACCAGGAGAGTCAAGGGGGCCAGGCTTTTACATGTCCAGACCCCCCATGGTACCACGCAGCTACCCATACGGCGCTCACATGACTACCTCGGAATCAAACTTAGCTATTACCATTTTGAACGCCTGACAGTGCAACATAGATTGAAGCTGTCCTGGGTGGCCATGCATAGGCTCCATGACCTCCTGAAACACAGATTACTTCCCATGCGTAAGCGCGTATTGCTGTGGCAGTCATGCGTCTGGACTGTGGCCAGTTTTGGGTTGACGGCGACAGGAGTGGACCCCTACAGCGCTCAGCAATTCTACTCGGGGGTCATGAGGCAGTTACGTACAGCAGCCCGTAGTCCAGCCCACCTGTCCCATGAAACCAACGCCCAGATCCTGAAGAAGCTTGGTCTCCACAACCCGTTGGAGTGGCTTGCCCGGTCCTGTCATAAGCGCATTCAGGATTGCATGTCAGGTGTCGGGCATCTTCAGCCGATCAGGGTCCATCATTGGTGGTCTGTGCTGCCTGCTAGCTTTTGCACACAAGCTGGCATGGATACAGGGCCGGGCGTGCTTACGGAAGTCACACAGATCCTCCGTATTCAGTGTCATTGTCCTGCCTGCGGCCAGGCCTTCCCTAGCTCCCATGCCCTTAAGGTTCACATAGGGAAGAGTCACCCCACCCTACAGCCTCGACATGAACCCAACCCTACCATCAAGAACAGGCGTAGAGATGAGTTCCGCAAACACGCTGTGAAAGGGCGACCGCAGTGCAGATTCTGCCTGAAAAAGTTTTATGGCTGGCCGCAGTTCATGGCCATTTTGATCAGCAGGCTTGCCCCATTCTTCATAAGCCCCAGCATGCTACGGCAGAATGTATCGCCACTCCTCAGCAATCACACGCCCCCTCCCCACAACAGCCTGCGTCGGGACCAACAGCCTCTGAGCAACACCAGCCGAACTCTGCCAGTGCGGGCTCTGATGAGCGATCGAGTGCAGAACCAGTTGTACCGAGGGCGTTCGCGCCACCTTTTGAGGACGATGGAGCACTGGCCCCGCCAGATCCAGTGCCGCTGTTTCACCGTCCGGACTTGCAGGCCTTGGCCATCAAGAGAGATCTCAGAGGTCTAGGCAGAGCCGTCCGAAACAGTGGATTGCTCAATCATTGCCCTGAGTGCTTCCAGTGGGCCTCGGGCCCTTCCTATGTAACCAGGCATGCCATTCAGATGCATTCCAGAATCAAGGCCGGCCAACATTCAGTGCAGCTCTGGGCCCAAAACCGGCTAGGCCTTAGCAAGCCCTGTCAGTGGTGCGGCGACAGCACTTTCTCTCGGGCAGGCTCCCACCTCAAGTCATGCCCAGCGCTTTGGACCGTAGGGCATTTTCTGAACCTGTATTCCACCCTGCAAGAGCCCGGACAGGACACTCTTCATGGCAGATTTGGCAGCGGAGCTCTTGGAGGCACGGGCCGAGTTCGACACGTTCGGAGCGTACATGCAGACCCCGCCGGCGCTGCAACAGCAGCGGCAGAAAGTAGCGGAGACGTCCGCACCCTCGACGGAGATGGGAACCACCCCGGCTCCAACACCGCCTCCGAGCCAGGATGGCAGCGAGACCATGGAAGTGGACAAGGACAGGGAGAAGCGCTCGGCCGACCAGCAGTCTCCCAAGGATGCGCCTCCACCGTCCAAGTGGGCCAAGGGGGATGCGAAGGGCGACAGCAAGCCGGAGGAGACCCAGTCGGGCAAGGGACGGGCAGCGGACGGCATGCCACAGCAGTCGCAGGCGGCTCGGGGCTCCGGGCAGAACTTGGGGTCGGGAGCCGGTCAGGGCTCGAGCCTTCAGGACACTCAGGCCACGGACAAGACGGGAGGCCAGAGCTCCAAGCCGGGCTCTCAGCAGCTGGCCAATCGGAGGAGGCCCGGGAACTACCGCCAGTGGCCGAACAACCAGAGCGGCGGCAACCAACGCTGGGAAAGCAAGGATGCCAAGGAGCTTCGCGAGCTCAAGGAGGCGGTCAAAGCCTTGGGTCGGATGAGCCTCCGGATGGAAGATGCGTTGGGGGTGATCCACCTCGACTCCGAGTACATCCTCTTTTTGCAAACGGAGGCGGCCGGCAACGAGTGGGCGATTACCAGGCAGCTCTACGACACGGCGGTCGAGTGGAACCG